GTTAAAATTGTTCTTCATTTTAATTATTGTCTTGTTTGTAAGTGGTTTTTGAACTACAAATAAGATATGTGCAGTGTGCATAGGAATTCATTCATGTTTTTTCCAAATTTTAATCTGGCCCTCCAACAGTTTGAGGGACTGTGACCTGGCCCTCTGTTTAAAAAGTTTAAGGACTCCAGCTTTATACAGTACAACAGAGTTAACTGTAAAGTTAAGGGTTTTCCACCCTTATAAATATAGCACTGCAGCTTCTGAATAATTTTCATTGTGCTTTATCATTGCCTTTTGGTATGTCCATATGACACAAGTCTGATATCTCTAACTGTCATGGTCATAGAATCATAGAGTTGGAAGAGACCTTGTGGGACATCCAGTTGAACCCCCTGCCAAGAAGCAGGAAAATCGCATTCAAAGCACCCCCGACAGATAGCCATCCAGCCTCTGTTTAAAAGCCTCCAAAGAAAGAGCCTCCACTACACTCTGGGGCAGAGAGTTCCACTGCTGAACAGCTCTCACAGTCAGAAAGTTCTTCCTAATGTTCAGATGGACTCTCCTTTCTTGTAGTTTGAAGCCATTGTTCCGCATGGAACATGTTTCTCCAGGGAAGCAGAAAACAAGCTTGCTTCCTCCTCTCTGTGACTTCTTCTCAGATACTTATATATTCATATCTGATAGAATCTTAGGAAATATAGTTTAGAATTTCAGAGGAGCTGATGGTAACTATCTGGCATTAAAGTACTATAACTGTATGTTGTTTTCCTTCTGCTCTCAAGTGGTTAGGCAGAGCTTTCAAAACATTTGATGTTGGTAACACACTTTTTAGACATGCATCTTTTCATGACATATTCAATTTTACTAGCAAATTAGAGGTAAAACTAACCCCTTGTAAAAGATACGGACACGTACATTAATTGTAAATAACTAAATGTATGCGGATACAAGGAGTCCCCGGTGGCGGAGTGGGTTAAAGCACTGAGCTGCTGAGCTTGTTGATCGAAAGGTCACAGGTTCGATTCCGGGGAGTGGCGTGAGCTTCCGCTGTCAGCTCTAGCTTCTGCCAACCTAGCAGTTCGAAAACATGCAAATGTGAGTAGATCCGGCGGGAAGGTAACAGTGCTCCATGCAGTCATGCCGGCCACATGACCTTGGAAGTGTCTACGGACAACGCTGGCTCTTCGGCTTAGAAATGGAGATGAGCACCACACCCCAGAGTCAGACATGACTGTACTTAATGTCAGGGGACTACCTTTACCTTTACCTTTACTATGCGGATACATGTATGTATGAGATCATGAAAACCTATATATATATATATATATATATATATATATATATATATATATATTGTAAGATAATAACATACATTTCCAAGATTTCTGGTATTTCTTATTATTTTCATGTGACATACCTACACACTGCAGCCAATACACTGACATGCCGCAACACACAGTTTGGAAAGCTCTAAGTTTAGGTAATACAAATGTTTACAATAAATGCCAAAGTGTGGCTGAACAAGAGAGCAATATGCCCTACCAACCTCTGAAGCTCTTCTGATTTACAGCAGCCAGGGCCAAAGGGGTGTTTTTGCCAAGCTGTGTTTATTCAAGCAGATGTCTACAGTTTCAAAACTCTTTTCTGCAGAAGGCAATGGTGGACTAAATACGTCAGGCTGGCATATCTGTAGGGTCAAAATCAATTCCCTTTTGGGGCAAAGAGCAGGTCTGGATTCAGCAAATCTAAAGAAGACTCCTGCCTGCCTCTGATCCCAAAGCAGAGTTCATTCCTTTTCACCAGCCAGAACATCTGGTGCATTTTGTGTGTTTTTCATGCTGTTGCCCAGCTATTTTGCTTTGCCAAAGTACCTCCTCTTGTCTCCTCTTCCCAAACTGCTTTCGAAAATTAATCTACCATTTTTAATTGGACCACGATGTGTTTTCTTTACATCTGGAAAGAAGGATACACACCGTTATTTCTACTTTGTTAAGACATTATCCTTTAAAGAATTATATTGATGCATTCAGAATATTTTGGCCAACACCTCTGCAGCTCCTTCCTGATTGGGGAAAGGGCAGAACTGTCTCCTTCAAAGGTATGTGGAATGAAGCAACCTATGGCTGTAGCACTACTGCCATCTGCTGGCCACAAAGGAAGATAACTAGCACATGTTTCAAATACTATAGTGAGGCAGAAGGGCAATGCGGTCTTACAGTTTGAGGGCCCTTCCACCCAGCCATATAACTCAAAATCCCAAAATCCCACAATATCTGCTTTGTTCTGGGTTATGTCAGTCCACACTGCCATCTATTCCAGTTCAAAGCAGATAATGTGGGATTTTATTTAGCGGTGTGGAGGAGGCCAGAGTGTTGAACCAGGACTCTGGAGGCCAGGATTCAAATCCCTGCTTGGATATGAAAGCCAAAGGGTGCCCTTGGGGAAATCACATACTCTCAGCCTCAGAGGAAAGTTTGCAAATACTTGAAAGCACACTATTTATTTATTTATTTACCTTATTTATATCCCACCTTTCTCTACCCTGAAGGGGACTCAGAGTGGTGCTAACATTGTGCCTTAAAACATACAATACTGACTTAAAATAAACTGGATTAAAATTAATACAAATTAAACAGAATAATCCATGGATCAGAGTCTAAGGTCATTCTGCAGTTAAATTGTACATTATTCCACTTTAGAGTTATTACACTGCATTGGTTTTCAAAAGCCTGAAGGCTTGGAGGGAGGGGGCTGATGTAATATATAGCTCAGGAGGAAGTTCCACAGCTGAGGGGCCACCACTGAGAAAGCCCTGTCTCTCGTCCCCACCAGCCACACTTCCAAGATGGTTCACAAAACAAGGCTGGAGTTAAAATTTCTGGAAGAAACATTCACAACCTTAGATATGCAGATGATACCACTTTGATGACCGAAAGCGAAGAGGAGCTGAGAAGCCTTCTAACCAAGGTAAAAGAAGAAAGTGCAAAAGCTGGGTTGCAGTTAAGCATAAAAAACCCCAAGATTATGGCAACAATACTGATTGATAACTGGCAAATAGAGGGATGGATGGTCTTCTTGAAGTGACTGGCTTGACCTTGAAGGAGCTGGGGGTGGTGACGGCCGACAGGGAGCTCTGGTGTGTGCTGGTCCATAAGGTCACGAAGAGTCGGAAGCGACTGAATGAATAAACAACAACATGCCATATAATACAATAATAACGTTGCGGATGTTGTGGGTGAGATTTGGGGGGGGGGAGGGATGTTTAGCTTCCAAATGTAATTCTAATTGTATTTTAACTTTTGTATTCATGACACAAATATTTGTTTTTACTTTCTGTAGATATTGTAATTGCCTTCTGTTTTACATCCTATTCTGTTGTGTCATGTTATTGCTGACCACCTTGAGTCCTTATGGAGAGAAAGGTGGTATAAAAATGCAGTAAATAAATACATAAATAATACTATAATATGTTGTCGAAGGCTTTCATGGCCAGAATTATTGGGTTGCTGTGAGTTTTCTGGGCTGTATGGCCATGCTCCAAAAGCATTCTCTCCAGACGTTTCACTCACATCTATGGCAGGCATCCTCAGAGGTTGTAAGGATGCCTGCCATAGATGTGGGTGAAACTTCAGGAGAGAATGCTTCTGGAACATGGCCATGCAGCCTGGAAAACTCACAGCCACCCATATATATATTTCTGACAACCTTGAAGAGAACATTGGGTGAGGTCATCCAGAGTTTTGGAGTTGGGTGCCACCTGTAAGTAGATGACACCCAACTCTATTAATCATTTCCACCAAACTCCAGTTCAGACCCCGCCTATGTTCGCAATCACATCTCTTTCTGGGTTGTTGTAGGTTTTTTCGGGCTATATGGCCATGTTCTAAAGGCATTTTCTCCTGACATTTTGCCTGCATCTATGGCAAGCATCCTCAGAGGTAGTGAGGTCTGTTGGTACTAGGAAAAAGGGTTTATATATCTGTGGAATGACCAGGGAGGGGCAAAGGACTCTTGTCTTCTGGAGCTAGGTGTGAATGTTTCAACTGACCACCTTCATTAGCATTTGATTGCCTGGCAGTGCGTGGAACAATCTTTTGTTGAGAGGTGTTAAGATGTGCCTGGTTGTTTCCTCTCTGCTGTTTTGCTGTTGTAATTTTAGAGTTTTTTTATACTGGTAGCCAGATTTTGTTCATTTTCATGGTTTCTTCCTTTCTGTTGAAATTGTCCACATGCTTGTGGATTTCAATGGCTTCTCTGTGTAGTCTGACATGGTGGTTGTTGGAGTGGTCCAGCATTTCTGTGTTCTCAAATAATATGCTGTGTCCAGGCTGGTTCATCAGGTGCTCTGCTATGGCTGACTTCTCTGGTTGAATCAGTCTGCAGTGCCTTTCATGTTCCTTGATTCGTGTTTGGGCAATGCTGCTGCGTCTGGTGGTCCCTATGAAGACTTGTCCACAGCTGCATGGTATATGGTAGACTCCTGCAGAAGCGAGAGGATCCCTCTTGTCCTTTGCTGAACGGAGTATTTGTTGGATTTTCTTGTCCTATAGCAATGGGGCCATAGTGTTCTGCATTCTGCATTTCTCACTCTGTAGAAAGAGGCACCTGTAAGACCCGCCTTCGCCACCCTTCCAGCCAATCCGGCGTTAGCAGTCCTCTCCCGTGATTGGTAGCCGCGTGCTGTAGGCGGAGTCTCGGCGCTTGTTTTCCATCGTGACTTCAGTACCGAGCATGTGCGTCAGAAAACGCTCCTTCTTAGCCTAGAGATAGGAAAAGGGATAGAAAGAAAGCCAAGCTAGATATGCAGTTGAGTACGGACAGTGAGCAAAATAAGACCCTCGGGTTCTTATTTTCTATTTAATATATGAGAGCCCTTTCTGCAATTGTAACTGCACACAGCGTTCACCTCTAACCAGGAAACTTCCTTCTGTGGTGTTACTCTATCTTTTTGAGGTGTCAGTCTACGTGCGCTGTTTGACGTTAGCAGCGCTTGTGACGTCATCACGTAATTCCCCTCGTCGGCGAAAGAAGGCGAGGCAGCGGCCATTTTGTTTGTTGCTTTGCGGGCGGTGTGCTTCGGGGCTCCGTCAGTCGCCGAGAGTGAGGGAGGAGGAGGAGGAGCGTCGGAGGAGGCGCCCCGGGGTCCTTTCCGGAGACCTGCGTCGAGGCAGGAATGTAAGTCTGGAAGCAGGAAGGCTTCGCCGTCCCTCCTGGGCCTCGCCTTGGAAGCAGGCCCGGCCTTTCCCCTTCGGCCCGCGACGGAGGCCTTCTTAAAAACACATAGTAGTCGGTGCTCTTTAGGTTCAACCCAGTTTGGGTCCCCAGATAGTATTGAACAGCAACTCCCATCACTCCACCATACGGACTGGGGATAATGGGAATCCCAACCCCACGGCACTTGTGGGTCTGAGGCTGGGCCAAAGGTAACTTACAGCCTGCCCACAAGCCTTGTATCTATATCCACACCCCACCATCCTGACTGAACAGAACAAACTGCAGCCTTACAGATGATACTGCATCACAACTCCCATCAGCTGTAGTCATGAGGTCCAATAATGAGGAATATATTATTCTATTCATTTATTATTCTATTCATTTGTATCCCGCTTTGTTTCCCCACAGTCTAGCATCTGGAGGGCCATCTCAAATATTTTTATTTATTTATCGTGTCGGGAGCAACCAGAAATTTGTATTACATTTTTAGCAAAACAGACAAAACACAAAAGTTTGCAAGCTTGGTAGTTGATTAAATCAAATGACATGGACCAAATTAGGCTGCGGGCCTTGAGTCTGGCGCATGTGTTCTACTTGGTGGCATCTAAATGATACCCGATAGCACAACACTTCTGCTATCAGAAAATGTAGCTAGAACTATGTAAATACTTGCAATATTTATTATACATGGTGTGGTTTGAGAGTTCACACTGACCCATCCACACTGATCATTTAATGCCGTTTCAAACAGGCATTGGAGAAACCCGTTTTGCTGTGCAGGTATACACAGGAAATGTGGCCCAAAATGATGATTACACAAACCACAGAGCACTGATACACATGAAGGGCTTTTGTTCAAGTGTGTTTGTGGGAGTTAGTTGTTTGGCAGTCACAGTTCAAAGCTAGCTGGGTTTCAGATGTTCCACTGGGTACAACAACGCTTGGAAATAAATATATGTAGGAGACTTGCATTCCTTGTTAAAGGTAAAGGTTTCCCCTGACATTAAGTCTAGTCACATCCGACTCTAGGCGGTGGTGCTCATCTCCATTTGCAAGCCCAAGAGCCGCCGACGTTGTCCGTGGATGTCTCCAAGGTCATGTGGCCAGCATAACTGAATGGATCACCTTTACCTTCCCACGGAAGCGGTGCCCATTGATCTACTTACATTTGCATGTTTTCAAACTGCTAGGTTGGCAGAAGCTGGGCCTAATAGCGGGAGTTCCCCCCACTCCCTGGGTTCAAACTGCCAACCTTTTGGTCAGCAAGTTCAGCAGCTCAGCAGTTTAACCTGCTGCGCCACCAGGGGGCCCAATTTAAGAGCCTTGTTAACTGCCATCAAATTAATTCTATGAATGAGACATCTCCAAGTCACCATGTTGTCAGTAGTCATGTTCATGGCTTTCTTGATTCAGCCTTCTCACCATGGCATTTCTTTTCCATGGTAGTGTGCTCCTTTAAGGAAATTGTCTATGCTGATTGTAGTGTTGCTCTTAATAGGGGCTTTCAGGTCAGGGTTTTATTGAGCCAGACTAAACATGTTCAGCAGCTGCTGAGCAGCAACAAGCCAGAATGGTCTCCTCCCTGCTGGCCTTCTAGTGTCAGGTGAAGGCTTTTCTGTTTAGGCCAGCTTTTAAGAAAAAAGTTTTTGAAGTCTAAGTCAGGGGATATGGTATGGGATTTTGGGTATTTTAAATTTGCCTTAATTGTTTTAATTGTTCATTTTTAGATAGTACTAGGTTTAAAGTTTAATGTCTACAGGCAGTCCCCAAGTTACAAACATCCAACTTACAAATGATTCATAGTTAAGAACAGGGGCAAGACAACAGGAAGTAAGAGAAATCTACCTTCAGAAAGGGAGATTCACTCCTGAAAGAGTTATAATGGAGAAAAAGTGTTTAACCAGTCCTTGTTTCCACACAAAATTAATTATCACAGGGACAGAAAGTGAGGTGAAATCTTCTGAACAGGGGCACAAGCCGCTCTGAGTTCCCTTTTGGGGTGAGAAGGGCAGCATATAAATGCCATATATATATCTATATCTATATCTATATCTATATCTATATCTATATATATAATAAAGAAGAGTGTTTGTATCGGACAGAGGAATTGTGGAGGGCGGTGTATGTGGCAGCGTTCTGATTGGCTGCCGCTGTGGTGCTATTTGCATATGGTCTCTGATTGGCCAGCTTCAATAGGAGCTCCTGGTGGAGAAGAGGGTTCATGGCAGAAACGGGGCATGAAAGAAGGAAATTTGCATATGGTCTCTGATTGGCCAGCCTCAAATCCAACATTCCGAGATGACAAAGAGAGGAAAGGAAAGGCCGGGGGCTGGGTCAGAACACTCCCAATACAGACCGAAATAGGCACACAAAGCCCCCATGACCCACTCTACATACTACTGCAGTTTGGAGGAGTATGAACCATGGATGATGGGACTTGCAGTACCACCACTCACATTCTGAGACCGCTGTTAACCTTATCCAATGACTGATCAGGACCAAACTTCGCACAGAGACCTCTCATGACCCACTTTACGTCCTGATGTGGTTTGGCCGGGGATGGACCGTGGATTATGGGACTTGCAGTACCATTGCTTAATTCTTCATACCACTGCAACGCTCATCCAATTACTGATAAAGACCAAACTTGGCACACAGAGTCCCCATGACCCACTCTACATCCTGGTGCACTTTTGAGGAGGACAGACCATGGATGATGGGACTTGAAGTACCTCCACTCACTTCCCGAGACCGCTGTGACTCTCATCCAATGACTGATCAAGATCAAACTTGGCACACAGAACTCCCACAACCCACTCTACATCCTGGTCCAGTTTGGAGGAGGATGGACTATGGATGATGGGACTTGCAGTACCTTCATTCACTTCCTGAGACCACTGCAAAACTCATCCAATGTCTGATCAGGACCAAACTTGGCACATAGACCTCTCATGACCCACTTTACATCCTGGTGTGTGTTTGTCTGGGGATAGACCATGGATTATGGGACTTGCAGTACTTTTGCGCAATTCCTGAGACCACAGCAACGCTCATCCAATTACCGATAAAGACCAAACTTGGCACACTGAGTCTCCATGACGCACTCTACATCCAGGTGCAGTTTGAAGGAGGATGCACCATGGACGATGGGACTTGCAATACCTGCACTCCCTTCCTAAGACCATTACAACTGCCAACAATGATGGATCAGGACACAATTTACACAGAGACCCAGCATGACCCACTCTACATCCTGGTGCGGTTTGGAAGAATTTGACAATGGATGATGGGACTTGCAGTACCTTTGCTCACTTCCTGAGACCACTGAGACCCTCGCCAATGACTAATCAAGACTACACTTGGCACATGGAGCTCCAATGACCCACTCTACATCCTGCTGCAGTTTGGAGGAGGACAGACCATGGATGATGCGACTTCAAGTACCTCCACTCCCTTCCGAAGATTGCTGCAACCCTCTTCTAATGACCAATCAAGACCACACTTGGCACACATAGCCCCCATGATCCACTCTACATCCTGCTGCAATTTGAAAGGGGATGGACTTTGGATGATGGGACTTGCACTACCTTCACTCACTTACTGACACCACTGCCACCCTCATCTAATGACTGATAAAGACCAAACTTGGCACACAGAGCCCCCATGACCCACTCTATATCCTGCTGCTGTTTGTAGGAGGATGGCCCATGGATGATGGGACTTCAAGTACCTTCACTCACTTCCTGAAAATAATGCAGCCGTTATCCAAAGACCAATAAAGACCAAACTTGGCATACAGAACCACCATTACCCACTTTCTCTAATAACCCGGGCAACGCCGGGTCCCCAAGCTAGTATATAATAAAGAAGAGTGTTTGTATCGGACAGAGGAAGGGCGGTGTATGTGGCAGCGTTCTGATTGGCTGCCGCTGTGGTGCTATTTGCATATGGTCTCTGATTGGGCAGCTTCAATAGGAGCCCCTGGTGGAGAAGAGGGTTCATGGCAGAAACGGGGCATGACAGAAGGAAATTTGCATATGGTCTCTGATTGGCCAGCCTCAAATCCAAGATTCCGAGATGAGAAAGAGAGGAAAGGAAAGGCCGGGGCCTGGGTCAGAACACTCCCAATACAGACCGAAATAGGCACACAGAGCCCCTATCACCCACTCTACATCCTACTGCAGTTTGGAGGAGTATGAACCATGGATGATGGGACTTGCAGTACCACTACTCACATTCTGAGACCGCTGTTAACCTTATCCAATGACTGATCAGGACCAAACTTCACACATAGACCTCTCATGACCCACTTTACGTCCTGGTGTGGTTTGGCCGGGGATGGACCGTGGATTATGGGACTTGCAGTACCATTGCTTCAGACCACTGCAACCCTCATCCAATTACCATTAAATATCAAACTTGGCACACTGAGTCTCCATGACGCACTCTACATCCAGGTGCAGTTTGAAGGAGGATGCACCATGGACGATGGGACTTGCAATACCTGCACTCCCTTCCGAAGACCATTACAACTGCCAACGATGATGGATCAGGACCACAATTTACACAGAGACCCAGCATGACCCACTCTACATCCTGGTGTGGTTTGGAAGAATTTAACAATGGATGATGGGACTTGCAGTCACTTCACTCACTTCCTGAGACCACTGAGACCCTCGCCAATGACTCATCAAGACTAAACTTGGCACATGGAGCTTCAATGACCCACTCTACATCCTGGAGCAGTTTGGAGGACGACAGACCATGGATGATGGGACTTCAAGTACCTACACTACCCAAGACTGCTGCAAAACTCATCTAATGACCAATCAAGACCAAAGTTGGCACACAGAGCCCTCATGACCCACTCTACATCCTGCTGCAGTTTTGGAGAAGGGTGGACCATGGATGATGGAACTTCCAGTACCTTCACTCACATTCTGAGACCTCTGCAAACCTCA